AAAAAAGAAAACGCGTTGTTTAAAAGAGAACAGCAGAAAACTTAAAAACACATTTTCCAAAATGCAGCTACATTCATATCTATTTGAAATTCAACGAGAAATCAGCTGATTTTCAGCTCAATACTCTGATTTGTTTTTCTAATTACTGATCCTGCTGGGGTTTGTGTTTTACCACCACTCTTCAGTGTGAACGTTGCAACTGAACAAAGACTCAACTGCTGCGTTTCTGTTACAAATGAGTGCAAAAGAATTTCACAACAGTGATATTTCCATTAAATAAGCCATGCCATTTAAATCACACATAAGTTTGTTCATCCAATAATTAAACATGATGGTATTAATCATGGTTAACTGTTTTAAAACATAATGTTCATCAGACTCGAGCCATTTTATAAACTACTACAGGAAGGTTTATGTGTTTATTAGTGGGTGATGATGCTGGTGTTGCTATTGATTGAAGTAGGACAGTTTTCCATTCAGTGCTGGTATTTTCTATTCACTTAGTAAACTTGAAAATTTCCACCTTCTTTGATCCTTCAACACATCAAACATGTCGAATATTGATCCTTTGATGCATTAATCGAGTTAAATGTCAGGAAAATGCCCAGATTTCAATTAAAATATTGTTTTTATCTAGTCAAATCAAGGGATAGTTTACAGATTTTATGTAGTTTTTGTCCATTCAATTGGAATTTAGCAGTTTAGAGGATGAAATATTACAATCTATTATATTCTCATAGCAACTTTCTTCACTCGGATTTCAGTCGTTGGTATTTTTCCACAAAACCGCGCCATTAAAAAGTCCCATTTATCCACCTGTTTGTGTGCGATTGGTTATAAAAGAGACGACAAAGCAGTACTTACTTGATGAAGGCAGGGCCAGCTGCAGAGGCAAAAATAAACAAAGATTAGTTCACACTCAAACAACAATGTCTTTTTCTCTAAAAGCTCAGATCAACAGTCCTGTAAGCGTCAGATTAGAGGCGATGAGGAGACAAAAACCTGGAGATAAAGACGTTTTATTAACGTCGTTCCTGCTGCCTGTTCGGTTTGATGGTGATTTCCTGACCTGCTGCTTCAATGTGGTGCAGAAACGTTTAGGGAAAAACTCACAGGAGAGATTTAAGGCATGAAAATGTGAATATTCCTCGTTTTTAATATGCTGTGATGCAGAAACGAGCATCTAAATAAAACAAATACAAAGATACAAAGAGGGTGAATTTTTTGTTTTTGAAGATTTAATGTTTGTAAAACCAGATTTTGAGCATGGCGGCCATCTTGTTTTAAAGCTTCCACTGTCTATGACAAAATGCTTGTTTTGTTGTTTTTTAACTAGAATAAAATCATATGAGAATTAGGTCTTAATATTACCAGAATAAAGCTGTGATATTTGGAGAATAAACTCCAACATGAGAATTAACAAGAATTAATTATTAAAGCTTTTATTCTCATTAAAATGTTTTTTTTTTTTTGTAATTTAAGACCATCTTCTTATAAAAGAGGGGAAACGATTAGCACTTAATTGATTCAAGTTATTGGGAATTTAAATATGTTTGTTTTTTACACATAGTGTTATTTCATCAGGAGTTTTTTTTTTTTTTTTTACTGCCAATCGTATTTTCTTTTAAAATCAAACTTTGTTTTATTATATCTCTACCGGTATCTGTAATGCTGTAATTATTGTGAAACACTTTGGTCAAAAGTGGATGAAAATAGCCAGAAGTGGGTCACCTGAACGTCACCTGCACCTGGTGCTGCGTTTGCAGGAAACGGACAAAATCAGTCCCAGCAGCACATCTTTGCTGCTATTCTTCATCCCACACTTGCCCTAGTTTTATTGATTATTTAAATTGTTTAAATGTAAGTTTCAGAAAGAAGACGGACCAAATGTACTTCAAAATTACTTTGTGTCAAAATGTTTATTTCCTCAAATTTCGAACAATATTTGCTCAGGTTTGGTTCAGACTAGTGTCCAAATCTTTTCCTTTTTGGTACTGATTGGTTTATTAAATAAAAAAGCAAAAATTATTTTATTATTTCTTTTTCTGCTCAACCACAAATAAAACCTTCATCAAATATGTATGTAATTGAAGATCTAAAATATAAAAAGTGCTCTAGATGGTTGTCTTATTAGAAAAACAGCAACTCAATTGCCAAAGTTTTGGGGTCATTAATTGTTTTCTATTTTGGTGGCCAAACTCTTTACAATTCTTGACTTTTAATCAAGAAACAAAATTATTTAAATAGCCAAAAAATGTGCCCAGGACTATAAATACAGACTTAAAAATGTATTGACAATTATATGTAAGACATAAGACATATAATGCTCTATGTTGCTTTCTACTTGCAGAAATTAGTGGCGCTTCTCTTTCTTTTTAGAAGCTAAAGAGATGAGCAGCTGCTTCTCAAATGCAACTTTTTTTGGGGTTAATATTTAAACATATAAAAGAGGAGCCAAACTGTTGCACAATGGTTTATATTCACAGTGAAATAATCAAGTTTTTCTAACATAAAAGCAAAATAGAGATGCTGATGTGCTCAATCTCGAGCACATCAGAACATCAGAAACCCAGCTGTGTTTATTTGGTGATGCATGTCATAGAAACCAGCTGTAACTTGATTCATCAGAACTGCAGAACTGGTCTGCTCCGTCATCAGTCGTATCTACGTTTATTAAACCCAACGCTCCTGACTCGAACGCCGTTTGCTGCACTAATGCAACGTTGAGTTGAAGTTGCAGCAGGTGAGCTGACCCCGGCGGTTCTGCAGCCTGATGAGTTTCATCACAGTTTCATCACGTTAAGTTCGACTTCCAAGAGCAGAGGGGATTAAAGCAACATAGCAACTACATTACATCAGCATAAAACACAACGCACAGCAAAAACACACGAGTTACGGTGTGTTTTACACTAAATAAGCGTCCCACCCAGACACTGATCTTTGAGCAAAAAATGAGAAAAATGAACCACTTTACTGCTCTTTTATTATTATTATTATTATTATTATTAGTGTTTAACTAAAGATTGAGTGGAAATTTTGTTTTCAAAATGATCAGATTTGATTTGATGATAATTTATTTCAGACAGACATTTCACCAGCAGAAATAAAACATAATAATACAGACTTTCATGTTTCCAACTGTAAATACAATACCTTACTATCAAATTTACATACTTAAATACATGTAAATACACCACTTATTTGGTGACCGTGAGTCTGAAAAGGAGTATGATGAAGTTTAACTAATATAATCAAACCCCTTCTCCATTCATTAATTCATAGCATAAATAGTCTTCCTGTTTTCAGGAATCTTTCAATAAATAAAACAAACAAAAAAACAATAATAATAAATCTGAAATAGTATTTCCTGAACCAGATGTAAGTATTACATACAGCCATATATATATATACATCTAGCTGCATTTATACATAATAATATATATCTATATATACAACCACATATATTTACATTCACATACAACATCCTGCACCCAATTGCCCACGATATCCACAGTGTTGTTATTTCCAGTTAAATTCATATTAGCTTCAGACGATTTGTCCTCCAGGTCAATATTTGTGATTAAATCTGGGCCTCAGTTCAACCTTCTGTTGAACAAAGCACTTTTAGAGGCGGCGACATCTGGAAATCTTGGTCACTTTAAATATAGAGCCACAACCTCCCACTGGTGTCCAGGTGGAGGAACGTGACTTTTTTCCTTCTTCTTCCTGGGATTAAGATACCAGTGGAGCTAACCCAGATCTGCTCCTGGGCCGTAATCTCCCTCCAGCTTTAACTGGAGCACAAGAACAGGCGCCGCGCATGAATGAGAAACATTCACTGAGCAGTTTCCATTTCCCACACACGGTTCGAAGGTTTCATCTTGCGCAATGTTAGCCTAACCCCAGATAAGAGAAAGTGCTAGAATGAAAGACTTTGACTAGTTTATTTTAAGCACTAACACAAAAATATGTTGATTTTATAAGAACATTGCAGCTGATAAATACTGAAACTTGGGCTTATGTAATGTGTAGATTGTAATGATTTACTTTTAAACTTTAGCTGTGAAAGCAGACATATTATTTTAGTTTATCAATCATTTTTATTTTAGAAGTCTTCAGGAATTTCATTAACTATTAACAAAACTCCCTTCTTATTAAACTTTTTCTCAGTTAATGTATTTTATCACCTTCAAAACTACACAATCAAAATTAATGAAACTTTTACAATATTTTTTGTTTTTCTTAACTGTCCTTAGATGAACATTTTTGTTCCTAATCAGATCATATGATGAGTTTGAACCACTTCTCTTCAAAGCTGATCACATGTTAACACTGTAGATATGTTAATCAATCAGCTCCGGAATGGGTTTCTAACACGTTCCTCCGGAAAAATATGAGTTTTGATGAAATAAATCAATGAAAACAAACAGAAACAAAACTCGTGAGCCATCTTGGCAGCAGTCAGACAACAAACAGGCCACAGTGGGGCGTGACCCACACAAACTACGGGTTACGGAGGCCGTGCAAACGGCCAAACTACCCCCAAACTACAACAAACCACCGACTCCTACCAGAACAAGTGGCCGCACATACTGATGACCGCGTCCCTGGCAGTGTCCAAGCAGATGTTGCACTCGAAGGTGGCCCGATCGCGCTCGCTCTCTGCGCCGCCGCCTCCGCCGCTGCCGCCCGGCCCGCCGCGGTCGCTGCTGCTCTCCCCCGCGGGGAATCCTGCTCTGCTGGCCGGCCCGCCGTTACTCGAGAAGCGTGGATCCGTGGCCGCCATGATGTTAGCCGCTAAAGAGCTAAAGGGAAATGAGCGCACCGAGCCAGAGTCAAAGCCACGTCAACGGGGTTCCCGACCCGAACCGAAGTGGAGCTGCGAGTCAGAGGTGAGTGCCGACCAGGAACCGTGCGGAGCCGCAGCCGCTACCGGACTGCTGCCTTCATCAGGGCGTCTGTTTCCGGAAGGAAAACACAGGGGGCGGGGCTAACCCTGCGTCACTTACATACGTAATGACGCTCAGACACGCACCACTGTTCTAATGTCTTCAGTAGTTTTTCATTTTTGTACACAGATGTGCTTTCTTGTTCTCTAAAAACAACTTTTTTATGTAATTAACACAATATAATTTCTAGCTGAATTTTATATTCAATAAATGCAAATTTTCTGTCAAGAAATCTCTATTTCATCTGTTTTTATGCGACTTACATGCAGAAACCAAGCGCTCCCTGTCAGATGGAGCCTTAAAATTATTATTTCTATCACTGGCACTATTACTGCCTTATTTCTACTTGTGAACTATGTATTTTATTATTTTATTACCCACTGTTCTGTACATTATTTTTTAAAATAATTTTAATGCAATAATAATTCAAATAAATAAAAATGACACACCCCGAGATCCCCAGCTTTCTAAAATAATCCCGGAGTAATTCTTTGCCAAATTCTTTGTTTCTACTGTGATTAACAGTAGAAACATTTGCTGTTTAATGGCCAAATTTACTTGTGGGAAACCAAATATTTTAGCTTGAAATAATCTGTTCCCTGTCCCCCCTTATTCATTCATTCATTCATTCATTCATTCATTCATTCATTCATTTACTGGTTATTTATCGACATATGAATCGTTTTACCGAGAAATCGCAGCTGCAGTGTGCGATCCAAACAGAATGTCACACAAAACCGGAACTTTTCTCGCTTCATCGTTTCTAATCGGACTCGTTAAAGGCATGCACCCATGCGTGTTGTGTCCCCATGCTGGCTCTGGTTGTAAATATGTGCGTTCGCCGCTAAAGTAAAACAAAAACGGGGTTTATTTTTGGACCCGTTTAGCCACATGAAGCTCCAGCGACAAACGATCCAAGATGAAGATCAAAAGACAGAAACAAGCCAAGAAAACGATCAGCTTTTACAAATACAACTTCAGCTTCAGGGAGCCTTTTCAGCTCCTCATTGACGGAACCTTCTGCCAGGCGGCGCTGAAGAACAAGATCCAGATCAAGGAGCAGATGCCCAAATATCTGATGGGAGAAGTCCAGCTGTGCACCACAAGGTGAAAACCTGTATTTGTTTGCGGGCAGCGTTTACGTCGATCCATTTTGCTTACGCGTTTGTCTCATCCGCAGCTGCGCTTTGAAGGAACTTGGGACTCTTGGGAAGCAGCTTTATGGCGCTAAAATCATCCTGCAGAGGTTTCAGGTCAGGAAATGCGCACATCTGAAAAACCCAGTCCCAGCATCCGAGTGCCTGCTGTCCATGCTGGAGGAGACGAACCCGCACCACTACTTTGTTGCCACGCAGGTACGCAGAGGTCGGAAAAGGACTCAACAATAATACTCAAGTAAACACAGGAGGACTTTGCTCGAGTAAAAAGTAACCGTCCAAACAATTATTTAAGTAAGGATAAAAAAGTATTTGTTAAAACATCTACTTAAGTACTTAGTAACTGATGATGCTATTAATAATGTAATATTTAAAAATTACGTCACCAGACTGACTGGCAATTTTAGTAATTGAAGGACCAAAATGACAGTAATTGATGTAAGAAACAAAATCATTTTTCCAAATGAGTTTCTTTCATCTTAAAGTTGATGAAGCTCTAACACAAACTGCAGGTGTGTGTCTGTGTCTGATGATTTTTTTTTTTGTTTAAAAATGTTTGTTTTTCATTCAGTGAGTAGATGAGTAGAAAATCCACATATTCTTCTCAAGTAAGAGTAGAGATACTTCATAATAAAATTAATCAAGAAAAATATAAAAGTAATAAAGATACACTGAAAAGTCTTTTGTTTTTTGTTTGTTTTTTTTTCAAAAATCTTACTCAAGTAATTGAGTAAATGTTACTAGTTACTATCCCACTCTGCCCATGCTATAGACACTGTATTTATTTGCATATCAACGGTATTTAAATACAATGAAGTCATATTTTTAAATGTATATGCTTAAAAAAATGCACATTTCAATTGTTTAGTTTTAATTTAAACTACTGAATGACTCTAAAACTACCAGTATTTTTTCCCACAAATATCTACACTCATTGTAAAAAAAAATAAACTGCTGTTTTTTATAAAATGACAATGAATTTCCTAGAGTATATATTCTGTATATATATATATAATATATATAAATTATAAGTGATCTTTTTTCACAAGGTCATGTATCATTTGAGGCTTTTAATCAGTTTTAGTTAGCCGGACTGAAGGCACAAAAGGCTCTTGGATTGTGAAAATTTCTCTGAAATGGAAGGAAAATTATAAATTGCTTTCCAATTTAGGCTTTTTTAGGACTTTATTTTACATATTGTAAAATGCGTTGTCCATTTATGTGCAGGATCGTGCAGTAACTGATGGACTGAAAAAGATCCCAGGCGTCCCTCTGCTCTACATCATCCTCAACACCATCGTGCTGGACAAGCCCAGCCAGGCGTCCCTGGACCACGTCCAGGCCGTCCAGCTGGGGGAGCTGGTGACCTCGGCCCAGCAGCAGAGCATCCGCAGCCTGAAGGAGGAGCAGGGCATCAGCCAGAAAGACGGGGAGAGGCGGGGGAAGAAGAGGAAGAGGAAACAGAGAAACCCCAACCCTCTGAGCTGCCTGAAGAAGAAGAAGAAAGGTGGGCCGACACCGGCGCAGAAGAAGACGGAACCAGGAGAGAAGAAGAAAAGAAGTCGACACAAGAGAAGAAAAGCGGCAGAAGGAGACAACATGGCTGCTCCTGTAGTTATTAGTACATAGTGGGACAGAAAGACAAAGACTCATGCTTTTAGTTTCTCACAATGAGCAACAGTTTTAACAGACTCTCCGTTCTTTCCAAGGAACCAGATTTTCTTGATCTCCTTTTGGGTTGTAGGATGTCAGGGAGATCATAAAAATTACAATAGTGTTCCTAAAGATTACAATTAAAATATTAATTCAGATAAATCATCAAGGATTACCAGGATTGTTTTTTTTTCCTTCATGACGATCACCACCTGTGTTAGATTTAGCATGTTGACCAATAAAAATATACATGAAGTGTCAGCGCTGAGAGCAGTGGAGTTCCTCACAATTGTATTGAGACAATTTGCATACATGGAGTGTCCAAACTTTTTGTCACATGGGCCAAAATCAAGTCAAACAAATTTGAGGGCCAAAGTAAATTTAATTTTGCCAACTCAACCATAAATTAAACATGTAACTCTGTAACTTGTGTTTGTATTGAACCAGCAATCAGAAAATATTCTTCTGTTACATGACAGTTAACAGCTTTTAAATGTTTTCTGAAAAACACACCAGCAATAGAGGCTCTGAAAAGAGTGAAGGGATTATTTAAATCCACAAGGGGGCGTCCTGAACTGTTTTACTCTAAAGACAGCATGGAAGAGAAACCCAACCATAGCTGTTGTTTTGTTTAGAAAATATGACATTAGTTATTTACATTTGAACACACTTTATGATGATATAAAAATATAATAAACTCTTTTCTTGCTTATATTCTGTATTGTTCCATGAACTGAGAGATTGTTATGATTTTTCCCCCAATGGGATTTTTCCCCCCTGTCCATGATGCTGTGACATGATTCAGGATAACAACTGACAGAAAGTTCAACATAGCCACACTGGTGTTGTCTTGCATGTTAATACACGATTTGATCGCTTAGTTGTTTTATGTTCAGATTTACTGCTATTTTAAGTAGATTTTTTTTTTTCAAAACAGCAAAAATTGAAAAGTGGAGGAAAATTCTGTTTTTATTTTGTAATTTTCTAACTTTCTGTAGAGATCACAGTTGAAGCTGGTAATGATCTGCATAGCTCTGGATTCTGACCAGTAAATCGAGCTATGATGTTTCTGTCGTTTCAGAAACATCAAAACGACAGAAAGTTCAGGATTTGCATTTAAATTAAGTCCAGGAACATTTGATTAAGATCTGTTGATTATATTTGCATAAATTAATCAATGATAAAGAAAAAAATATTTTACAAAACTTTATTGCACATATTAAATAAGTCATTTATGAACAAACTTATATTATTTAAAGACAGATCAACACACATCTATGGAGAGTGAAGAGTTTTAATAAATTAATGGGACACTTAAATAATTATTACATGTGTTATTTATTGTCATTTGACACTCTTCACTCCTTAAGAGTCAGGACATACTGGAGCAGCAGTTTGGCTTTAAAATATAAAAAGCCAGTTTACCCATCATATAGTTTTAGGGTTAAAAACTATGGATAAATACATTTTAACTGTTTCTCTAAATTTTTCTAAAACTGCATTAGTCTGTTCTTAGAAAAATGGTAATCTTGAAAATTTTAAGAAAAATTATTCAGTCCTACATTATAAAAAAATACAAATAACATTTTACTGATTCTCTGAATTATTCTAGAAATATGTTTTGGGTAGATTTTGAATAAAACATATGAGTTTTATTAGATGTTTAGATTTGTACTGTTTCTTTGCAGTTCTGCAGGTTTTACAGGTTTATTGTTTTTAGTGTTTGGAGTGGAAAATGTCAAATCTCGCAACAGCAGCAAATCGCGCCGTTTTGCTATAAATGAGTGTGACGCGCATGCGCCACGCTGGATAGAAATATGACGCAGCTTCTGCATGAGCTTATTGAAAAGTGATGCGGCTAGCGCCTGGCCGCATCACGAAGACGCCAAGCTGTCGGTCTGATACTCATGGACTTTGGGACGCGGATTAAAAATGATATTTTCTGATCTCCCGACACGCGGAATCCGAGAGGACGTCAGGCCTTATGACCGGAACTTTTACGGCTCCAACTAAATCGGGTCAGCGTTCGTCCAGGCCAATTTTGGCGTCTTGTACTTGACCTACGAGGAGGCCGCAGTGGTGGCTCGTAGGCCGCTGGAGCGCCAAGTCTCAAATCGCTGGCGGATCGGTTATTCGGTAAGTTATTTTTCGGAAACTTTATTCTAAGTTGTTTGTCTTTTTCCACCGAAGACGTCAGTGAAGCCATTTTTTGTGTCCAATCAGACCAGCAGCAGTAGAGAC